TTCCTACAGTATCTAAGTTGATGAAGAAATAAAGAGATGTGGCCTCTTTTCTCATCTTGTATCTGTTCACATCTAGTCAGTGTCCCCGTCAGCAGTAGCAGCCCCTTTGTGCAGTGTTGATTATTGTACAGGTTGTTTTATAGTTTCTAGACAACAGCGGAGCTCAGAGGAACGCAGTACATCAGGTTATCTGGAGGAGCTGCAGTGATGCGTTCAGGGACAAACACGAGTTATGTTTCTCAGGGGTCATAGACATGGGAGTGTTCACAGTCAACCGTGCACTACAGCTGACGTAGACGCCACAAAGAAACGTATATAGAAACGTGTGTCCTCACTCAGAGCAGTTTAAGTCCATGTGAGCTCAGCTGGACTGGGGTTTTACACAAAGCGGGTCACATCTGCTGTAATTCAAATACAGATACCATCAACCTGAGGACCAACCAGCAGGTACAGTAAAAGACTGAACAGGGAGCAAGATATAAACAGACTAATGACCGTCTATTACAATCATAAAAACATAAAGACTAAATAACTTCACAGCTGCACCTCAGTCAGGACTTTAGAGCAGTTAAACTGAGTCACATTAAAGACCTGGATGTGGAAGATCTGGGGGGAAAAGAAGGTTTCAAAATTCGAAACCTAAGTTTCAACGCTGAACATGTAAGAAGCCGAAGGTAAGGCCAAACTGGTCATGTGATAACAGCCAGCAGTGAGTAGATCATTACTGAGAGTCGGCTAGTGACCTGCCACACACGTGAACTGGACCCCCTGAGTGCCGGCGGCAGGAACGTGTGCCGACTGGACCACCAGGTTTGGCTGAACCACCTGAGAGTGGGATGTGTTGAGGCTGGAACTGAGGTTCACAGAGAGCTTGTCCAGAGTCAGCGTCAGGCTGCACACAAAGAACAGACACAGAAACAATAGTATCTTTGTTCTGGAGAGTCGCGTGTTTGACGTCCTGCCTGCTCAGTGATGTTAGAGCCTGTACTTAGACCTGCAACTTCTCGTGGACCAGCTGAACTCAGCAGAATTTAAAGTCTGCATGTGTGTTACAGTGAGGGCTGTTCGAGTCCAGAGTCGTACACTGGTGTTAGAGCCATCTCCGACTCTTATTGACTGACTTATGACCAGATGTTTCATCTCTAAATCTAGAAAACAGCTTGAAGCACTGACTGAGAAATGTGTCATATTTTGTAAAATAAATTTTCCTGTGTCTTTCAGGCTCCCACAGGCTGTGACCTCAGGTCAGACCAGCTTCCTGTGAGTATCCAGGGTTCTTCTAATCACAGGACCAGTTGGGGTCATGCTGTCGTCTTTGACATGGGACTTAGTGTTCATGGTAAGATCTAGGTTATGATTACACCTGGGACATTTTACTTATTCTTGCCCAGTATTACAGAAGTGTGTGTAAAGGCAAACAAACCAGAGTCTGTAGAGTCCAGCAGAGGTAATAGACCTGCCTCGTTTGTGACTGTCAAGACAACAGAGTTGTAAAAACCTATGGACACCCTCCGCCTGACATCTGCACACATCAGCGATTCAGCAGCATGTTTTGACAGACTGGCAGGTTTCTCACGGCAGTGTTAATAATGGTAAGACATTGTGCTTACCCCAGAGTGGCGCTGTTTTCCTCGGGGCTGTCGGGCACGCTGGCGTTCAGCATCTTGGCCACTGCTGCCACTCTGACGCCCTACAGCACAGACATTAACAGGACAGCACGTTACTGAGGCTCTCTAGATAAATGCAAAGTAGGTTCAGGAGATGCTGTCACTCCACAGTTTAGTGAGAATGTGTGTCTGCTTTTGTCACATGTCACAGTTTGTAACAGATGTCTTCAAACAGCTGCAGTAGTCTGGTTTGTCGCTTTGACTGGACCAAACTGTAGCAGTGCAGGAGTCTGCTCTTAGGTTGTTGTGTGTGTCTGCACCTCTGTGGCGTTTGCAGACAGCAGCAGTGCATTGGCAATCTGAGCTGCTGCCGTAACGTTTTCAGCCGTCAGCTCTTCAGGCCTGGATGTCAGAATCTGAGTGCTGCTGGCCAGCATCTCTAGGTCAGCTGCACTGGTGAGCTGAGAGAGCAAGGACGCTGTTAGTGCAATTTACTGATTCTGTTATCCTTAACCTACATGTACTGTAGGAGGCGGCACGGGTGTACACATCTGTCTACAGGGCTACCAGTTTACCATACAGCAGAGCTCACATTTAGTAGTAAGTCGCCGAGCGTCTGGCCACACTGGAGGACGCGTGGACGGTCAAAACTTGCTGAGCCACTCGTCGTGGAACATCTGGTCGAAGCCCGAGGTTTACCAGCTGGATGGAGACAGGAGAATCAGCAGCACGTCATGGTATGCAGTAGCTGATGGCTGGATGTTAGACTGGGTCTGGGAACTCACCGGCACTGGTGCCTCTGGGACAGGTCTCCTCGGAATACGCAAACCAGCCGATGGGCGTTCGTGGGAATCTGAAATCTTGCAGCACCTCAGCTCTGCAGAAATTTTCTGAGAAGGAGTTCAGAGAGACATGAACACCAAATACTAATCTACTGTCAGGGGCCGAGTGGAAAAACAGGAATCTCATGCAGAGTGACAGGAAAATATGTGCATGTAGACGCAGGAGTGCATGTGTTTGAGCTGCAGCAGAAAAGCCAGACTTATCCTGGGTGCTAGCGCGCGGTGGCATGCCACCGCTGACCCCGACACATACCCAGTGAGCAGGTCTCTCCGGTCCAGTCGTCAGGACATAGGCAGACGCCATTCACGACCAGCCCTCCGTTATGACACACCAGGGGAGGAGGAGGGGCAGTGGGGTCTGGAGCACCAGTAGTAGTAGTAGTGGAAGGAGCAGAAGTAGTAGCAAAGGGCTGAGTAGTAGCAGAAGGAACAGTAGTAGTAGTAGAAGGACCAGTAGTAGTATTAATAGGCTCAGTAAATGTATAAGGAGGAAAAAGAGTAGTGGAAGGAGCAAAAGTAGTATTAAAGGGCTGAGTAGTATCATAAGAAGGACCAGTAGTAGTAGTAGTGGAAGGAGCAGAAGGAGTAGGAAAGGGCTGAGTAGTAGCATAAGAAGGACCAGTAGTAGTAGTAAAAGGATCAGGAGGAGTAGTAGCAGTAGTCATAGCAGAAGGGTCAGGAGTAGTATTAATACCCTCAGGAGGAGTAGTAGCAGTAGTCATAGCAGAAGGGTCAGGAGTAGTATTAATACCCTCAGGAGGAGTAGTAGCAGTAGTCATAGCAGAAGGAACAGTAGTAGTAGTAGTGGAAGGAGCAGAAGTAATAGGAAAGGGCTGAGTAGTAGCAGAAGGAACAGTAGTAGTAGTAGTGGAAGGAGCAGAAGTAATAGGAAAGGGCTGAGTAGTAGCAGAAGGAACAGTAGTAGTAGTAGTAGTGGAAGGAGCAGAAGTAGTAGGAAAGGGCTGAGTAGTAGCAGAAGGAACAGTAGTAGTAGTAAAAGGATCAGGAGTGGTAGTAGCAGTAGTCATAGCAGAAGGGTCAGGAGTACTATTAATAGGCTCAGTAATTGTATAAGAAGGACCAGGAGTAGTATTCAGAGTAGCAGTAGTCATAGTAGAAGGTTCACTAATAGTAGTAGTAGTCATAGCAGCAGGGCTCTGACTGGTGGACTGTGGTGCTGAGACCGAAGCAGCAGCTGTAATGAGACATGATCACTGCAGTTACAGTGCACCCAGGTTTCCCAGTATGCATTTAGTTGAGGTTAAACCTCCCCAGGAAACTGTACTTACATGAAACAATGAAACTGTTTTGTTTTTTTTACATATCCTTGAGGTTTCCTGCCTGAGCTGAGTAAAAACAATGAAAACCGCCACGATGAAGAAACCTGTCCACGTGACTTTGTGCATTGTTCCTATGTATGGCCCATCGGTGTTGGGCCATACATAGGAACTAATGTCCCTGCTGTTACTGCAGTGGACATGTCATAACAGACATCACTTGTCATAATCATTGATCCAAGTAAAAGCACAAACATAGGTTGGAGTTCATTTAGCTAAGTAACAGAATTACAACTCCCACATCATAGTAATGTACAGTGTGCTGCTCTAAGTTGAGGTTGACTAAAGTAAAAGGTTGGATGAACGCAGCCTAAACTTCAGATGCAGGGTTTGTCTAACTCGGAACTCTGCTGAGGTTTTCTGCAGTGACTCACCGGAGCCGAGGGCTCTTACCCAGAGTGAAGACGAGGAGCAGCCAGGCATCCATGTTGGCTCAGTGCCGCAGGTCGGAGACGTTGGACAGGTTGCACTGACTGAATGGCCACATTCTGCTGAGCCGCAGCATTTGAGCTGAGCCTGGGAGGCGTGTCGGAAAAGTTATTAAACAGCACAGCAGTTCAAAGTTCACCATTAGCTGTGGGACACTGCAGAATGTAACGGCTTATTGTTTCACTTTGCTGCAGCTCTTTACTGCTGGTTGTACATCGCCTGTGGACCACACTCACCTGTATGACAGGTGACATGTTCATAAACAGGTGCTGTCCAGCTGACGGTGATGATGAGGATGAGAAGGGGGAGCCACAGCACCAGGAGTGCCAGCTGCTCAGCCCACTAACTGAAGCTGCGAGCCAGCGTGTGTCCAGAGGGCTGGGAGCTGGGAGCTGCACAGCGGTTAATGATTGAACACCCCTTGGCTCATGGTGAAACAGCAGGGGGGCTTGCAGACTGAGGTCTAGCTGCTGCGCCTGTTGTTCAGTCTGCAGACGCCATGGCTCAGCTGGTGGAGTGTGTCCCCAACTTCTCCGAGGGCCGGAACAAAGAGGTGAGACATTTCATATTAAATCTTATTCCCCAGCTGCTCTGTGTTTGTTTCCCTGCTAACACTGCTGTGGTTAGTCTCCTCAGTCACGCCTGTGTCAGTCCTGTATAACCAGTACACTGACCTGTACCAGCTGGTTTCCACCAGACTGTGAATCTGTTGAACACAGATGAGGAACATGTTTATTAATGTCCATTATCTATTGCGATGTCTCCCATGCAGATGTTCCTTACATTAACCCAGCTGTTTTATTGTCGTTCACCTGTTTGCACAGCAGCAGTCACAGCTAACAGATCAATAAACACTTGGATCTGATCACAGCTACATTAGAGTCTTGAGCTGATGTGATTTTGTTAGTGTTTGGAGTGAGAGCACTGCCTGATTTAGCCAAACAGAACCTCTGATCTTTGACCTCTGTCTGTGGCTCCACACTGTGCAGTGATTAAACATTTCCAGCTCAGCCACCAGACTGAATCCAGAAAAATCAGTGTTGTTTTACCTTCACCCTGTAGAGTCATGGACCTGTGCAGGTCGTGTGTTGCATCAAATACAAAGAGAGAACTTATTTACACAGTTGGTGTTTTGCTTTCCATCTTCTTTAAACCTTTGGGCATCAGGTCCACTGAACATTTTATTTATTTGTTTATAAGCCAACATGTTTCCCTCGTGGTCTGAGCTTATTTCCGTACCTTATGGAAGCTCACCTTTGTTGTTTGTGATTCAGCATGGTGCCATGACCTGCACTAGATTTTGTTCTGCATTCACCAATGTACAAGGTGCAAATAAAACAAACCTGCCTTTACTGATTTTTAACTTCAGTCTGGTGACTGAGCTGCTTTAATTATTGCACAGTGGTGTGGAGTAACAAGAGACAGAGGTCAGAGGTTAGAACTAGAGTCTCTGTGACAGCAGCTCACTGAGGCCAGAACACACTAAGAGCAAAAGCCTCTTGAATATCACAAGCATAATGTAATTGCCTGTAATTTCTCCTAAATGTGGAGTGAGTTCGAGGTTAAACCAGGCTCCTCTACAACTGTATCACTTACTGAGGTTGCTCTTTGGTCTTTACTGTCACTTGATCTGGGCGGTGAGTCGGTCTCTGCTCTGTTTGGACCTGATGGCCCTGACTTACTCTGCTCCATCCACTTGATTAACATAGAGCTGTTAGCCCAACACTGATCTGTCGCCCGTGCCAACAGTCAGTGACAGTGTGGAGGTCAGGGTCCACGTCCCATCGCAGACCTGCACTGAATCAGTCTTTCCCTGGATGAACCAGATTCTAGTTACCATGCGCAGATGTTTCTACAGTTTTGCAGAAACATGATGCATTCTGACCTCCAGCACAAAATGCGGAAACGTGCAGGAACCACAGCTGTGGCATCATGCAGGCGAAGCAGCTCCTGGTTTCCTCTCTAACTCTCAGTGACTGTTGACATGGTGTTTCTTGTGTCCCAGGTGATCGATGCCATCGGTGCCGCCATCTCTGGCACCGCCGGCTGCAGCCTGCTGGACGTAGACCCCGGGGCCTCCACCAACCGCACTGTGTACACCTTCGTGGGCTCTCCTGAGGCGGTGGTGGAGGGCGCTCTGAGCGCCGCCCAGCAGGCCTTCAGCCTCATCGACATGAGCAGACACTCAGGTGAGCAGGGAGCTCAATGTACATCTGGAGGGGTTGGGCCGGAGGACATGGTTAACACATGTGCGTTACCTGCACAGGTGAGCACCCTCGGACTGGAGCGATGGACGTCTGTCCCTTCATCCCCGTCCAGAACGTCAGCATGGATGACTGCATCCGCTGCGCCAACGTCTTCGGACAGAGGCTGGCAGAGATGCTGCGCGTGCCCGGTGAGACAGAGGCTTGTGTGGAAACTTGCCAGAATGTTTCTGCATTTTTGTGTTAAAGTCACAGTAACAACAGCATTTAATAGCTTTGTTCTGCACATTTATTGTTTTCTACAACAATAATTAAATTCACTGCCCTTATTGTCATTGCACACCTGTACAATGACAATACAGTACCGTATTGTACAGTGGTACACACAAGAAACTTTAAAGGCAAACAAAACACTAAACACATTTTTGAAACAAATAACATAATGTAGTAAAACTTCCTGTCTCCTCCTCAGTGTATCTGTATGGAGAAGCAGCTCGAAGAGAGTCCAGGAGGAGTCTCCCGTCTGTGAGAGCCGGAGAATATGAAGCCTTACCTGAGAAGGTGAGGCGCTGACGACCAATCAGAGTCCTGCTTGTTGCTTCAGGATTTCTTCTTCTCTCTTTTGGCTTCTGTGTCCTTCTCCTGACAATGTGATGTCATTCATGTATTAAACATCAAAACAAAATGCCTAGAAAATCTCCAGATTTCCCATGATGTTCTTGAGTCCTGACTTCTATCAGCTGATGAAAGGTTTTGCTGCCACACAGCTGAAACATGACGAGTGGACCCCGGACTTCGGCCCCGCACTCTTCGTCCCATCCTGGGGGGCCACGGTCACCGGTGCACGCAAGTTCCTCATTGCCTACAACGTGAACCTGATCAGCACCAAAGAACAGGCTCATCGCGTTGCACTGGACGTCAGGGAGCAAGGCCGTGGGAAGGACCAGGTGCATGCTGGGAGTTGGAGGCACTTATGTGCTTGTTTGTTTTTTCTGCTGCTTGTCATAACAGTTAAACAGAAACTGACCTCTTTCTGCTACAATAGCTTCCTGACATATGTCTACTACTAAAGTACTCACACGTTTACTCAGTGACAAATAATCCTTAATCCCTGAACAGTTTGATGCTGTAGTGGAAAACAAGCATACTGAAAAGACAAGATCATGTATTTTGGTCAAGCAGAGTTTTAGCCTGAAACCCCTGGAGTTTAAGTCAGAAATGGTATTTGTCATTATTAAATGGTGTCATCTTTTTGCCTGATCCAGCCTGGGCTGCTGAAGAAGGTGCAGGCCATGGGCTGGTACCTGGATGAGGCCAACCTGGCTCAGGTGTCCACCAACATCCTGGACTTCGAGCTGACCCCCCTTCACACCGTGTACGAAGAGATCTGCAGGGACGCTGAGGTCAGAAGTCACCATGGGTTCACTTTGTGTCTAGGAGGCAAAACTGACTCCCCTCCCTGTTAATGACCGACTGCTGCTGTGTGCAGGTGCTGAAGCTGCCAGTGGTCGGCTCTCAGATCGTGGGTCTGATCCCTCTCAAGGCTCTGCTGGACTCTGCAGACTTCTACATCCACAGGGACGAACTCTTCATCATCAAAGAGGAGCACAAAGTGCGACTGGTGAGCAGACGTCTGTTTAACAAAGCAACTATTTTGATCATGGCCTCCACTCACCATCTGTCTGTTCTTATGATCAGGTGATCAGTAAACTGGGCCTGGACTCTCTGGCGCCGTTCAACCCCCAGGAGAGAATCATTGAGTGAGTGTTTGGGACACACAGGGACAGTTTCACTCTCACTGACATCATACATCAGAACCAGGATTCAGTACAACAGCACTATGAGATGTAAATAACAACAGAAATGGTTTCCTGCTTGGCAGTGTCTTCTCTAATCCACACACTCACTGGGTGTGTTACCTGTGCAGGTACATGGTGAGGTCACAGGAGGACAGTCGGCTCGTGTCTCTGTCTCTGCAGCAGTTCGTCCACAGGGTCGGCGCTCGGACGGCGGCTCCCGGAGGAGGATCAGTGTCGGCTGCTGTCGCTGCTCTGGTACGAAACCTTTGGTTTTGATGAGACTGTGTCAGAGTGACTGTGTGCTCATGTGTGTGTCATGCAGGGGGCAGCGCTGGGGGCCATGGTGGGCCAGATGACATATGGGAAGAGGCAGTTTGAGAAGCTGGATGGTGTGATGAGGAGACTGATCCCTCCGTTTCATCAGGCCATGAGCGAACTGCTGCACATGGTGGATGCCGACTCCTCGGCCTTCAACAGCTACATGGTGAGGAGGGCGCCCCCACATGAGAACAACAGGAAGGACCCTCTGACAGCACAATAAACCCACAGTATAATCTGGCAAAGTACTGATGTCTTGTGCTTACTGAGTCACTGTGTTTGGAAAAAAAGACAGTTTTAATTGGCTCGGCACAAATCTGTGCACAGAGTCTGTGGTGGAGACAGCGAGAAGGCCGTTCCACAATGTCAGAAGTGAAACTGTAGTGTAGACGTTAGTGGCAGCAGCTCAGTCTGCTTCTAACTACATACACGGATTTGACTGATGTCAGTTCAGTGGTAGTGCAGGAGGAGCAATGTTTCTGTGTTTGTATCAGGGTTGTGTTGATGAGTTTGTGTTTCTGTTTTAGGCGGCGCTGAAACTGCCAAAGAGCACAGCAGAGGATGTTCAGCGGTAAATGTAGGGTTTGTTCTTGCTGCAGGGGTCAAATCCCCCTGTTCAGTCTGGGTACAAAATCATATCAACGTAGCTGTTGTCGCCACCAGGGGGCAACACCACTGCACAGTCTTCATAACTGCAGGGTCCACTTTTAAGCTGCCCTTATAAGATTTTGTGTATTTATTGCTTTGTTTGTGGTTGTAAATATCTGTGTGTTGCACCGCAACATGTTAAAGCTGACTGCTGTGTCTGTGTCAGGAGAGAAGCTGCCATGCAGGAGGGCCTGCAGCGAGCCGTGGCCGTCCCTCTGGCTCTGGCTGAGAGGGTCAGCATCCTGTGGCCATTGCTGAAGGAGATGGTCGAGTACGGAAACATCGCCTGCAAGTCCGACGCTCAGGTCAGACACTCTGGTCTCTGCCTGCGCTGACTTAACCTTTTTCCTTCTTTATTGAATCAGTGTAAAACAGACTTTCCTTCTTTACTGAGTCAAAAACAAACTGAGGGAGGTACTAGAAGTAATAATTACAATTAAATATGTCATATGCATGAGGAAACTGTCACAGTTATAAACTCTGCACAATATATGAAAATATGTTACTGTGTAATTAATTACTAGAAAATTGTTTAATATTGAGGTTTGATGTCAGTTAAAAGAAAAGCAGAGGATGTCAGAGGATTAATTTACTACTCTGGAGTTACATTTGTCTTGGGACTAAACGTGCAGTTTATTCTGATGCTATGAGTCTCCAGATTTAACTTGTCCAATTTTTTTTTAAAACCTTACTGATGTTTGATGGTGACTCCATCTGCTGATCGGTGCACTTCAAACTCCTAACTTAACCTTTCGCCGTAGTTTTGTCGTGGCTAGAGTATGATGCCGACTAAATTAATTCAGACAAACCATCCCAATTTAAGTGATCATTTAATATTACAATTATTCTGAACAGAGTAGTATTTAAACAGATAATCTGATAGTTAGGGAACAGAGAACAGAGACTCTCCTCCTGCAATGTGATAGATAAAGCATTAAATAAGAAGATTGTCAAAAGCGTCAGTCCAGTCAGTTGTTGTTGGTCACGAGTCAGTATTTCTGTCAACCCACAGTCTCCCCCCAGCCGGGCTCCCAAAAAGTACACGGTTTACTGTCCCAGTAGCATTGTCATCCTCTTCTTCTCTAACCTTCAGGTCCACTCTTTTATCAGCAGCTTTCCTTAGGCTGTTACGTCAATTTCTGATCTTAGCCTCCTGTCTCCAGTTTCGGGAGACAACACCCTGAGATGTACTTCAAAAACAGGAAACATCTTGACCAACTTGCATAAGCTCATTGTTCAGCTAACATGAACTTAATGAACCCATAACCACTCAGCTCTCCCTTACACAACTAGTACAAATAATATCTATATGAAGTACATACTGTTACCTTGTTTATTTTTAGCCACTAGTTTCATTGTGTGTGTGTGTGTGTGTGTGTGTGTGTGTGCGCGCGCGCGCGCGCGCAGGTCGCAGCTAAAGCTCTGGAGACAGCTGTGTTCGGAGCATACTTCAATGTCACGATCAACCTCAAAGACGTCACCGACAAGGACTTCAAAATGGCCGTATGTGTGTCCTCCAGCTTCTTCAGAGCCTCTCAGTTAAACCCAGTCTGCTTGTTCATAGCTTGTGTTGTGTCCTGTTGTTTTGTGCTGCAGACTGAGAAGAGAGTGGCAGCATTGCTGCAGGAGGCGAAGGATAGTGCTGCCGCCATCCTCGACGCTGCCAAGAGAAGAAAGTGAAATAGGTTTAATGACGTGAACAAAAACACCCTATGCTGTTAACTGTGAACGATTCAGTGTGAAAAAAGACTGCATGAAGTTGGTGATGGAAAATAAAGTATTTGACAGTAAAACATGCTCAAACCTTCATGTGCAAACTCATAATATATCACAACAACAGCATCATAAAAGATAGAAAAAACTTTATTCATCCCCAAAGGGAAATTCAACTGTTCAATAGCTCATAAAAGACAACCACATACACTCAACAATAAAATAATAATAAATATATAATTTAATTAAAATAAATTAACAGTTGTCCATTCTCTGTTCCAGCCTGGTTGTAGCACAGAAGTATATAAGTGCATGTAACTAATTCATTCATTCGGGACGTATTGAACATCGTTATTGCCATGGGATCTCCTGAACCACTGTGTTCTGCAGTGCAAGAAAGCTGTGGAGAGGGTGAAAGGTAAAACAAGTCAATTACCAGTCCAATCAGACTCACCTCTGAGGTAAAATCTGATCTGTGGTCAGTTCTCTGAGCAGTTCTCATTATAACATGAGAAATAAAAGGTTGGTTGACTCTATTAGATGTTAGCCTTTAGCGGTCTGAAGCTCAGAGTTGGTGTACAGAGGATGAACAGGTCAGCCTTAGTAACATACAGTGGGTACGGAAAGTATTCAGACCCCCTTAAATTTTTCACTCTTTGTTATATTGCAGCCATATGCTAAAATCATTTAAGTTCATTTTTTTCCTCAATGTACACACAGCACCCCATGTTGACAGAAAAACACAGAATTTTTTGACATTTTTGCAGATTTATTAAAAAAGAAAAACTGAAATATCACATGGTCATAAGTATTCAGACCCTTTGCTCAGTATTTAGTAGAAGCACCCTTTTGAGCTAATACAGCCATGAGTTTTTTTGGGAATGTTGCAACAAGTTTTTCACACCTGCATTTGGGGATCCTCTGTGTTTTTCTGACAATATGGGGTGCTGTGTGTACATTAATGAGGAAAAAAATGAACTTAAATGATTTTAGCATATGGCTGTAATATAACAGAATGAAAAATTTAAGGGGGTCTGAATACTTTCCGTACCCACTGTAGCTGGCAGATCGCGTCAGGTTTGCTTTACATGCTTTTATTCACTCTAACTACAGAGAGACAAACTAGAGGAAACCCCTGAATATGTGAGTGGTCTCCTCCAGGATCCACAGGACACCAGGGGTCACTGACTGGTCTGATGAGGAAGACTGTGACCAGATGCCGTGGCCTCCACAGTCACCAGGCCTCAGCCCAGCTGGGCAGCTATGGAAGATGTTGGAGCGAGGTGTTAGACAGCGTCTCCACCAAAGTCATCAAAACAATCTGTTGGAAGAACAGCAGTTTTCTACCATATCATGGAGTTGTTTTTAAATCTATGCCTCAGCTGTTCCAGTGCATCCCATGGTGTCATTTTTATAGGGTACACTGTCAGGTCTTTACCATGTACCTGCTATAGAGAGGTGATGGAGGAGTCGTCCCAGTGGGTGAGGAGGTGCTGCTATGATGAGGAGGAGGAGGAGGATGTGATGATGGAGGAGCTCAGCTTCAGCTTCACTCCCGCCTACTGAGGTATCTGATCAAACCGAACCATATGAACATTATCGCTTGATTACAGTAATGTTTGCTGGAAAACTGTTTACACAATCAGCATTTTAAATAATTTGGCTTTAATTTCTTAGTAAAGATTTTCACAGTATATTTCCCCACTGTGTTTTGTATTGTGCACTCCCTGGCTAAAAAGTTGCTTAAATCGTTTATACCCTCAGCTGACTGTAGCTAACTCCTAGTGGACCTAGAGATCCCGTCGACGAAAGCGACAGGATGAAAAATGACTGCACCCTGGCCTCCCCCTTTGGGAGCTAATGCTAGCTAGCAGCTATTGGCAGGTGACACAAACTGAACACCAAAGAGGATGTTTGGATGTAGCTGAAGCAGCATTTAAATACTATCCCATACAGCTACATGCAGTAGCATTGATGTATATCTGTTATGGATAGTGAGCGTGATGCTCCAAACATGGTGCATTTACACAAAATTCAACACGGCATGAGGTCAACTTCACATTCTTCATATAGCCTATATAGCTGCATATGCACATTATCTGAGTGCTGGTTTAGTTCTCTATGTTCCAGCCCACTGAACTCTTGAACCTTAAGGTGGTATTCAGTATTTACGGTGTTTTAAAGGTTTCACATGGTCACTTCCTGCTCTGATTCTGTCCCTCAGCTGGATCCAGACCGGTCTGACTCATCCCCATCCGGGTCACAGCCTCAGTGGTTCCATACAACAGTATCCACCCGTGGCCAGGCACACATGGGTAAACAAAAATCAAGCAGAAGTAAACAGTTCTACACACAGGTAAAAGTACTGGTTTGTCATGCTGCATGCTAGTAATATTTAAAATTGTACTTCAGTACAGTAGTAATATGGCAATGACTGATTCTTTATGCAATACACCAACAAGTAAACAAAATAACAGGGTTGAATAATATTAGACTTAAAATATGCACATTCAGTGAGACCTGGGGCTCAGTAGTTGTTTGGTTAATCAGCTGTTGCAGGTTTTCAGATTATAAGTAAACTTTAAAAGAATTGACAGAAATAAGCTTATTCTCAGGTTTTTGTTTTGCAGGCATTGTGAATAAGAATCAGTTCTCTGCAGCACACTGGGACCACATTCACATGACCTGTAGAGTTCCTGACTACCTAAAAAACCTGATATGCAACATGCACATCTGATACTCAGATCAAAATGCTAAGAACTATTAATTATCCAGAATGATCTTTCCGGACTTTTCATTCCACATCCTGTCCCCGTTCACCAGATTTCCACTCAGCTCTGCCCTGACTGTCTTACACCTGTAGCCCTTCACCCGATTAGCTCCCTCAGTATTGACTGTATGCTGCCTGGTTTGCTTTGTTCATTTCAGGACAGTCTGTTGTGCTCTCTGTAGCCTTGGTGCTCATAGTTTGTCTCAGTGATCTCTGTACATTGTTTTCCTTGTATTCGGTTATTTAGATAAAATTAATCAACTGTAAACTGTTGTGAAAATTGTGCCTTTATTCTGAAAACAAGGAAATGGTTGGTTTCACAGTAAATGTGTTTTTTTTTTCCCCACTTGGCTTCTTTGCATTGTCGCTTCTCCATGAGGTAGATCCAGAGGATCTGTTGGTGACACTCGCCTGTGTCTCCTCTGTTTCCCTATCGCTTTACCTACTATTAACTAAGAAGTCAATGTGTGGTTTTATTTAAACAGATAAATAGTACAACAAATGTTGAATCACAGTTTACTAAGATAAATATTTTTTTCCACCCCTCATGCTGTAACATTACTTATTTACTTTTGGATAAGCTGTTTGTGGAAGTTCAGCCACATTTTATTGAGTATAGTCTCTGATGCTTTTTTTTTTGGTCTCTTTTTCTTGAACTGCTGTCTACAATATTAACACAACATTACAGCTACTCAAAAGGACAGTAGAGACTATACTTGGCATTATGACAACTGTTAATAAGCCTGTACGAAGAGAACTGGTGCACTACTACTATTATCTAACCAGGTTTCCATTTAAAAGCATGAGTTCAAGTATTCAGGAGGGATATGGGAGGTAGTGCTGGTGAAGAAGAAGAGTCCCCACTTCTGGTGATTGGCATGTGGGCTGAAGAGTCTGTCTGTGGACTCTGATGTGCTTCATGGCTTAAGCTCTTCTTCATGGTTTCTGACGTGGTGTTTTGGGTCCTTGTGTTCTTGGCTCAGGGAACAGATGAATGCTGTAACAAGCACCTATGATGGCCTGAAATTACAGGCACTACTTGAAATCACTGGAGGTAACAAAAGCTCCCTCCTTATTTTAACAGTCGATGTGGTTGCTGGAAGGTATTTGCTGCCTGGTCGGAGGTCAGCCGGGAGTATGGCCGATCTCTGGCTGCTGAGCTCCAGTTATCATGTGTCCCCGTTTCTCAGGGAACTGATGTATTCTTAGACTTTGTACCAAGAGTTCCAGAGAGGATTACTGCCTGCAGATTTATTCCCAACTGCCTTCATATTTCATCCTCTTGCCCACTGATTCAACTCCATGATGAAGTGGTATCCTTCCTACAAAGTCCATTCACTTCCACATTAGCTTCTAATCTTCAATCACTGCAATCTTCTGGAAAGGTCTGTAGAAGTTCTCTGTAGAGAAGGGGGGAATCTTGCTGTGCACTGGATTCAGCTAATCACAGTCAATGTAGAGCAGTGTAGCAATGTGGGAAGAAAGACTTGTGCTGTTTGTAGGCCACACTTACATTTTTGACAAAATATGGTTGTAGCCATATGTATTTTATAAATTAAACCCCTTGTGATTTATATGTATCCAGAAGTAGGTGTTCATAAATTTTAAAAGAAAAAAAAAGGATATCAGCAAAACCATGTAAGCAAAGCAAAGAGCAAGCAACAAGGTGTCTGCAGTCTAAGAAAGCATGTGAGTGA